AACGTTTGCTGATTCGATGAAGTTAACTTGTGATAAGAGATCTACTGAAGTCAGCTTTGAACCAGGAGACAAGGTGTGGTTGTATAATCCCAGGAAGACCAAAGGGAAGTATCCTAAGTTGTCTTCTCCATGGGAAGGCTATATGACATAGTGGATCGTATCTCAGACGTTACATTTCCGGGTAAAATGTGGTCGGCGAGGTAAACCAAAAGTGGTGCATGCCAACAGGCTTTGGTGTTATCACGCTCCAGGACATTTCAGTTGGGACGAAGTGGACCACAGAACATATGACGCTGCTGAAGACGTGACACCTGAAGAAGCCACCGTCGAAGAAGAAACTCTACTCAGTTTTGAGAAGGGAAACGGTGAAGCTCTTGATGTAGTTACTACCACTGATGTGACTGTTACCAATGATAGGACATTTCCTGATGAAGTAGATGAACCCCACGTGAAGCAGAAGCCAACGAGACAGAGACCAGTACGGAAGAAGATACATCCCGTAAAATTAAGAGACTTTTTTGAATTGTAATTTTGTGTTTGTAATTCTGTACATTTTAATTAAGTTATTGTTATTGGTTTATTATACGTGGTTATTGTTCGGGACGAACAATATTAAGGAGGGGGCAGTGTTGCGTCAGCGAGTCACATGACTAGTGTGACGCCACGTTTCTAGAATTATCCTGTACCTTGGCGAATGCTCTAGCATTTACTAGATATAGGGTAGTCTGGTATATAAAAGAGGGTGAAAACGTGACGGGGAAGAATGTAATGTGTGTGTGTAGATAGTGAGTAATTGAACTGCAGTCAGAAGTATTGTTGACGTTCGTTGATATAGCGTGATTGTTGAAAATAAGTGTATCTTAAAGTTGTATTCAGAAAGAATAAACCAGTTTTATTAAGTAAGGACTTGTGTCGCTAAAGTTTCGTTGGAACGAAGTTACGGAAAGTTAATTAACAAACGGAGACGTAACAGTATCTTGAAAAAAACAAGTTACTATCCGAATTTCAAAACGCATCCTGCAAAAACAGACAGACAGCCGATCACTTAGTCAGGCTAACTGAATCAATTATTCAGGGTTTTAATAAAAATCATACGACGATGAGTTTTCTAGATGTAAAACAAGCTTTTGACTTGGGCCTAAAATACAAATTACTACAATTTAAGTTCCTCCCTGTGATGAACAGATGGATTTCAAGCTTCTTGTCTGTCTAACAGGATAGCCAGAGTAAAAATCAACAATTCTATATCCAATTCAGTTACATTAGCAGCAGGTGCCCCTCAAGGGTCCGTTCTCAGTCCTTTACTGTATATCCTATTTGTCAACAACATACTGTTGCGTCTCTGGTCGTTGGTTAATTTTCTGTAGAAACTTTTCCGAAAAACTTCAGCAATACAAGTCCTTTCTTAAATAAAACTAGTTTATTCTTTCTCAATACAACTTTGCAATACACTTAATTTCCACAGTCAGTTTAACTTAAACAAATGCCATAATTCACAATGAATGATTCGTGCACTTTGCCATGCTTGACTCAATTGTCTGTCTCTATCTCTGTCTGCGATTCAATTCCATTATTGCCGTCACTTCTTACCGGTCTTATATATACAAAAAGCATACATTTCGTCTCTTTGTGAATCTTCTAGAAACTCATCACGTGT